AGAGTTTGTTCTTATCGTAACTCTTCCCTCCCACAACTATAAATAGGGGTCTTCATAACCTAGAAAGCACACCAGAAGTTATAACAAGAAGCAAGAAAGAGCTCGTGGATCAAAGGCCACAATTCTCTGCAAACTGCAAGTGTTCAAGCATTCAAGATCAAGAACAAAGTCAAATCAAATACAAGGCGTTCAAGATCAAGGCTACTTGTTTGTGAAATAATTCGTGGCAACAATCAAAATATTCGCGCTGGATAAATCATATTCAAATTCAAGATCAAGCTCAAAGGCCCTTGAATTTATATTGAAAAAGTAGAATCAGAGGAATTATAGAGATTGAAACACTCATATTATTTGAAAAAATCAAATACTACGATTGTTGCAATATTTTTCGGTCTTGATTTTATTTTCTCGACACAATTTATTATCTACAGCACCGACTATTTATCTTAACTATGTTTTTTTGGGGCAAAATATGTAATTAAAAGTACTTGCTTAGAGCTCCATAATTTTTAGCTAAATAAATTTTTTAGCCTAAAGAATGAAGTTCAAACAATGTATTTTTTATATCTTTTTTTAGATGCTATAAATATTTATTTTTACGGTGTATTTTTTTCTTTAAGTAAAATTTAAAATTTTTTAGCTGAAACTTTATCATATTTAGTCAACTAAAAAAATTAGCACAAACGTTGGAGTTATACCCAAGTTGCATTACAAATTTTATCTGGAAAAGATAATCTAAAAAACTAATACATTCGAAAAGGTAAAATATATATTTTATTATTAAAAAATATCACGTGGACAAAAAATCCACGTCGCAGGTACGTACATGCCACTTTCCTGAGATGAGATTGTCCAAGGAGGTAACAACTATCGAATAACCAAGTTCAGGAGGGTAATTAAAATTATAAATAGTTTAAGGGTAAAACCAATAATCCATGCCAAAATTAGAGGGGGGAGGGAGGTGTTTAAGGTATTCTACCTAGAGCTGTCAAAATGGGCCAGCCCAGCCCAGCCCAGCCCAACCCAAGCCTCGTAGGCTTTTAAACTTGGTGGGATAGGCCAGCCCGACCCGCCACATGAATAGGCCTATGACTGTCCAAAGGGACGGGACGGGACGATATTTAGCCGGGACGGTGACAGGACTGGACGAAACGGGACGAGACAAACGGGACAAAACGGTAGGCCCATCCCGTCCCGCTAACAAACGGGATGGGACGGGTTCGCGGGCTTTAAGTGCCGGTTAAAAAATTTTATTTAAGCATTAAGTTTGGCAACGTCTAATTTTTTGACAATGGCTAAGTTTTTAAAGTTTGCAACGACTAGTTTTTTGACTTATTTAATAAACTTAAATGTTAAAACAGAAATTAGAAAACTAAGTAAAGAATTATAAAATATTAAAATAAAATACTTGTAATGAAATATTCCAGTAATCAATAGAGTTATAATTTATTTAATATAATTTCAAACTATTAAGTAACTAAGACAATTCATAAAAAAAATTCAACGCTTAGAGTCTTTTATTTTATTAATAAAACTTTCAAATCTCACATACAAATACAATTCTTTTGAAGAGCACCTGATCTACGCAGGCACCTTCTAGGAAGGGTTTTGTTTGAACTAGGCCTCTTAGTAGCCAATTACAAATTATCATACTAATATTTGTAAGTTCCTATATAGCTTATTTGTAACTTATCTATAATTTCTCTCGGACATTGTTCTGAAATTGTCAATGTTGATTGATGTTCCATGAGCTCCATGCCGTCATCGCTCCCAGTACTAAGTATCTCATTGTATTCTCTTCTTCCCTAGTGGTTAATTTTTCAAAATCAAGATTTCTTCTTTCTGAATTAACTCAATTTCTGAATAATACGGAAATTTCTAGGTTGTCCACGCTAATGAATGTTACTGATCTCCAATTTGAAATCTTGTCGCGCTAAAAGCACTCTCTGATGCTACTAATGATGCTTGAAAATAGCCTTGGGGGGATGCGAGCGAGGGGGAAGGTAGGGGAGGGTGGTGAGGGGGGAGGGGTGGGAGGCCAATTATAGCCGTTTTTGGTTGTTGGCAACGACTATTTTTGCAATTGAAGTCGTTGCCCAACGGCTAGAATTCAAAAAAAAAAGGACGCGGGACAAGCAGGACAGGCGGGACGGGACGAAACAGGACGGGACAAACGGGACGAAATGACCATCCCGTCCTATCCCATGTCCCGTTTAACATGGGCTCATCCCGTTTAGAATGAAGTGGGCCGGGACAGGATGGGATGCGGGACGGGACTGGGACTGGGACTGGACGGGACGGCCCGTCCCGTTGGACAGCCTTAAATGGCCTTAAAATGGCCAGCCCAACCCAATCCTAAGAGGGTCGCGGGCTAGGGCGGGTCGGGCCTTCAATTTTTTTTTAGAAAAAAGAATTTCTTTAAATCCCTAAATATTTTTTCGTGACATAGTTGATTAATCATGTAAACATATTCTGTTTGCTTAGAGCGTACAAAAAGCTCGATATTTGACGAGGAATCTTGTAATTGAAATGCAAATTCTCTATATCTTTAGCTCTTCTGTTTTAAAGTTACATGAATATTTTCTTAATGCTTTTCTTTCATTTTCCTCAGATTTAGAGATTGCTTCAATAAGTTTACATGCTTAGGTTTTTTAATTTAGGATTAACGTCATTTACTGATTTCATCATTATAGTCCATAAAATTTTTAGAATTTCTAAAATTTGCTAGTGGTCAATTTTTTTTGTATATTTAAAATCAATCTTTTTCTATACTGAAGAGAAGTTTAATATTAATAATATATTAAAGTAATCCAAATTGATCGTTGGTTACTTAAAGTGGAGTAATATTTTTTTTTTTTGAAAAAATATTATTATTGGCGACCTAAAATTTTTCAAGTTCGTTATTAATTAAGCAAAAGAAAAACTAATTTTATCATATTACATACATGCCAAAAATTTAAATTCTAGTTGATATGGAAGGGTTAACGAGCAATTTAGGGTTGGGGAATGAGGATTATGGTTAATAGTTTTTTTTAGTTTTTACTCTTTTTAAATATTAAATATTTAATAGTTAATTAATTTAAATTTAGTTTAATTTTTGGTCCACGGGCCGGCCCAGACCCTGCCTCGGTCAAGCCTCAAGGGCCAGCGGGCTGGCTTGGGCCGGGCTTATAAGCCTCAATTTTTAAAAAAAGTTTTAATCACCTTCTTCTTAGATAGTATATGATCTTTTTGGTTTTTTTTTCTCGGTGGTGCCATTGCAAAGTTATGGAGCTTTTGCATCTATACTCAGTTTTGGGGTCACAATTGAACCCCACATTGCAAAAAAATTTGCAAGCGTACCCACTTTACGATCAACTTCAGACTTATCGAGTCTGAAGTTAAAAAAAATTAATCTGAAGTAAAAAAATTGCACTTCAAATGCACTTAAGGCCAAATAGATATGAAGTGCAACCAATGGTTTCATGCACTTAAGTTAATAAGCCTGAAGTGAAAAATTGCACTTTCAAATGCACTTAAGGCTAATAAGTCTGAAGTAAAAGATTGTACTTCAGATTCACTTAAGGCCAAAAAGTCTGAGTGCAACAAACGTTGTCATTCAATTAGGCCAATAAGTCTGAAGTGAAAATTTGCATTTCAGATGCACTTAAGGCCAAATAGGTCTGAAGTATAACCAATGATTTCATGCACTTAAGGCCAATAAGTCTGAAGTGAAAAATTGCACTTCAGATGCACTTAAGGCCAAAAGGTCTGAAGCGCAACAAACGTTTTGCTACACTTAAGGCCAATAAGTCTGAAGTGAAAAATTGCACTTCAGATGCACTTACGGCCAAAAGGTCTAAAGTGCAACCAAAGTTTTTATGCACTTAAGGCCAAATAGGCCTGAAGTGCAAATTGCCCAGAAATAGAAGTTTGTTCTTCGAATTATAACAATCCAATATAGGATTTAATACCTAAATCTACTCCAAATGAGTTCAAATTTGAAACATAACTTCCAAATATCATCAGGAACAAACCCCAATCATCAATTTGTCAAAACAACAATAAATCTAATGAACCCATTTGCAATTAAGAAAAAGAAGAAGAAACCTTAAGCAATAGTAAAAAATAAAGCGTCATAATAGCTCACCATGGTAAAACATCATAAACTACACTAAAATATGTTCACAACACCATATAAAATCATTGTCACCCGAAGAAGAAGAAGGAGGAGGAGGAATAGGCCTGAAGTTGTTTAAAAAGTGGGTACAAGTTAAAACTTTTTTAAAAAGTAGGTATAAATTAAATGGGAGCGACCAAAATAGGGCGCACGTGAAATTTTTACGCTAGTAACGAGAATTGATTCTAAGTAAAAAGTTGATTTATGTAAGATTTTTTTTAAAAACTTACTTGATGAAGTCATATCATGAAAGAGCTTATTCCTTAACATTATTTTTTGAGCACCTGTAATTGTCAAATGTTTTATGTTATAATATTTGAATTCTGTAGTATAGAAAGGAAACAAGGGAGTAGATTATAACAGTTTTTATAAATAAATAAGGTTATGAAAACAGGCAAATAAGATATATGCTATTTTACGGAGTGCAATTTAATTAAATCCGTAAAAAAGTTACTCATATTTTATGGAATGCAATTAAATCAAGTTTGTAAAAGACATTATATTATTTTCACGTAGATTCTCCACATCATTTCAATTTTATGGAATGTTCCCGTAAGGATATATTATTTTCACCTAAATAAATATTCAGATATAGGTAATTGATGATTACAAAAATTTACCTTGAATCAATAAAACAAGTAATCAGCGCTGAATATATGATTTTCTTTTCAGGAAAAATGAAAGGAAATAATAGTAATACAAACCAAAATTAAGGAGGGGTAATATAGTCATTACGTAACAAAGGAGCTCACCGTCAATAAAAATTGGACAGGGGGTTTTCAGTAAATTTAATACCTGATCGATTAACAAAACGAGAAGCCCAAACCGAGTCGAATAGAAAGGGTTTGGGAGAAAGAGAGATAAGGAGGAGAGAAAAGGCTCGTTTTAAGTTTTTCGTTTTATAGTTTTAAGAACTTTTAACAAAAATTCAAAATCGCAAAAAATTAAATACAAAAACAGTCCTCTTCGCGCGCAGTTGTTAAGCCTCACTGGAGCCAGCCATGGTGGCTCAGGTAGTAGAGACCACCTCCGCTGCCGCCGATGATGGCGGAGGAATTGGAGGAATTAGAGGTTCTCCAATCGCCGTTGATGAATCTCAGGAGGAGCAGTTAGAGAAAACGAAGACGTTGATTTGCGCTCTCAATTTCCTCTCACGCAATCTCCCGATACCTCCTGACGTCTTCGATGCCGTCTCTTCAATTTACCACGGCGGCGCTGATGATATAGATGTCGGTGACGATGATCCCTCCGCCGCTGCTGACGTGGACAGCCGCGATAGTGTGTCTATGCGAGTGAGTAGTTAGAAATTCTTATTGAGATTAATCTGTCTGTCTTTTTCCCGAATATTTCGCATTATGGTAATTGTGCTAGAATACAGTTACATTTCGCTATACTTTTATGTGATAGATGTTGATACATATAGGCACTGAGTATATGATCTTCTCAGTTTTAGAGGGAAAAAAAAATACTAGGGCTTGATACATTATTTGCTTTTCATATACATTCATATGTGCATTAGAACCGCACATACTTATGTTGTACACACATATATACATATAATGTATATGTATTCTATACTTTTAGATGTACTGCATATAGGAACAATGAACTATATGTTTAGATGCAAATACATAGAGGCAGTGATGGAGCTGGGAATTTTAGCAAGGGGATTCAAAAAATGTGAACTTGCAATCTAAAACAATTTTTGAACTCCCTTTGCCACTACATGATAACTTCCTTTATGTCAAGGGGATTCAAAAGTTCTTATATATACGAAAAAAGTTTGTTTTTGCCCTATTTACACAGTATAATTTTCCAACAAAGGGGATTAAATTGAATCCTCTTCATTGGTTGTGGCTTCGCCACTGCCTACATAGTATACTTTTCTCAAGGTTATAGAGAAGTTAAAACAAGACTATGGCTTAATACATTATTTGCTATTCAATTTACCCTTTTTTTTTCTTATTAAAGTTAATCCTTTTCCCCAAGATTTTTCGCTTTTGTAAATACTCTATGTTGCTGTTGTTGTTTTAGTAGAGGTTTCAGTAGAGGTCATTTGGGTAAAAGTTAACAAATTGAGTTGTGAAGTATAGCGGTATGCAGTTTGTGTTGATTGGTATGTGGTTTTTGTATGTTTAAGCATGAAGAAATAGGTATCTTTTTTTAAGAGTAACTTTTTTCCTAGAGGATGAGTTCTTTAATTTTGTGTAAATTGAAGTTGTTGATGAAGCATATTTGAGTAGTCAAGCTATCTTTTGTTATTTGCTTAATTTGGGATTTGAACCATGATAGCTATCTTTATTTTTCCTAGAGGATGAGTTCTTGTGGTCCGGCCCTTCCCCGGACCCCGCGCATAGCGGGAGCTTAGTGCACCGGGCTTCCCTTTTTAACCATGATTGAGTTGGATCAAGAAAGAAGTCATTTTCAAATATTATGCTTCTTAGTTTAGTCTTTAATGCTACCAATATGTTTTTCCTTATATGCAGAACGGTCCAGGTATGGGAAGTTATGGAGACCTGATGGCAGATTTTGAGGATTCATTGTTGAGGCAACGGTCAAGTTGTGCATCAGGTTCTGGTTTGACAAAGTTAAAGGAAGATCGTTTTCAAAGCCATATCCAGCATCGCCTAACTGAACTTGAAGGTAAGTGTAGCTCAGAAATAATGGACCGTGGAATCGTTTGACATGGTTCTGCATATACTTAGGGCTGTTTTGAACATGATGTGGAGATTTTTACATAGCGTCATTAGTCTTTTTGTGTTGTGTTGATATGTTTTTAGAATGGTTTTTGCCTTTCACTTTTGAGGCTATAGAATTTGAGGTGCTAAATCCTCTTGCTAGTGACATAATTAGGTTTATTGAAATACTTAGTAGGTATCCTCCTTAGTGGATATGTGGTTCGATGAATTTGATTTTGTCATAGTATTCATCCGAGTAAATCTATTTAGAGAATGAGAAAAAGGCCTATATATATTGGACAATTCATTAGTTCTTAGAAATGCTCTCTTTGAACATGCCCAACCATGCAGCTCCTGATACCAAAGCCTCATTATCTTTTGCCTTTTTCTTTTTGGGAGAAAACAGCATGAATCGTTATCTTTTCTGTTTGACAATGGAGAATCAAGTTTGAGCATAATCTGTTGACGCATGTTATGCGTGTGCTGGGGCTTAATGTAGGTTTTGGTTTTTGCTAGTCTAGCTGTTTGCTGAATTTTGGCTTTCAATGTTACTATCATCTCTCTTTGTTCTTACTATATCATTGCACCTCTCTACTGGTTTTGTCAAGTTATAAGTAACCCCCACCCGAGCCCAACCCAAAGTGTTCTGTTAGCACAGAACTTGAATAATAAGATTAGCTTGCTCACTAAAGAGGGTAATCACTCAACATGTTGTGATATATTTATATTCAGTAATGCTGTATGCCCTTTTATGCCAGCCCTTCTTATACATGTGGCAAATAGCTTATACTTTCATCTATTACCAGACTTGCCAACCAGTAGAGGTGAGGACTTGCAATCGAAGTGCTTGCTGGAGCTTTATGAACTAAAGGTAAATGAACATATGGCATGGTGTTGTTTAATAAGACATATGACTGCTATTCATGATCTGTCCATTGCAAAGGTTTATATGGGTTTTCTTTTGTGATATACATTTTCGTCTAAGTTGTATTCAACCATGCCAGTTATCTTGCAAATCAATTGTAAGATGTCCTCCCCGCTTTGAGGTACGGTGAAATAAATAGGAGTATTTCTGACCTTTCTGTGTTACATCTATACTATATTAAAAGCACGAAGGCCCTTAATGAAATATCGTTCGCCTTTTCTTACCCTTTAAAAATAAAGTTCACACTAGACAAAATAGTCTTTTAGTTATTTTTCGATTTTTTAGGAACTATTATTTAATTAATTATTTTACTAATATTTTAGACTTGCAATTCGACTAAAATTTTGATTCTTAAATCTTTACTTATTTGAGATATATAAAAATCCCTAATATTTAGGAAGTTAATTTACCCTAGACTTTATATAGCTACAATTTCTGGTCCTAAATTAATAGAATACAATTTTATCAATACGTAAAATATATGATATGTATTACGGAGTACATAATAGTTGAAACTTATTATTTGCTAGGAATTTGGTACAACAATTATAATAAGACAAATAAGGAAACCAGACAAGTTGTAGCCATGAAATAACTTGAGCGTGTAGACGTTAGGTTTGTGCATGTTATTTTATTCTTTCTTCCTAATTTCTTTTAATAATAATAATAGTTAGAAAGTACAATGATTAATAATCAGATCAAATACCAACAAAAGTTTAAGAATACAAAGAAAAGAGAGGTAGAGAATTGAGATATGAAGAAAAGTAGAAAGTGGCCGACAAAAGTCAATGTCACTAATGATTCTACAAATATAAATATTCAAAAGTGAAATATCATATTAATTTTTATTATGTTTTAAAAATATAATTCTTAGCGGATAAAATTGTAATAATATTTAAATATTTAAAATAACCGATGACCTAATATAAAGAATTTAATCAGCAAAAAATAAAGAATCTAATTTGATTATTTTTTTAATTTGCCTTACGGGTAAATTATTTTTATGCTGACAAATATCTTAGGATATATGAAGTTGTGTGATAAGAAAAGCATTAGCGGTGAAAGACATCAGAAAATAGAGCAACATTCATTATAGTATGATATTAAGAGTCAAAATGATAAAAATACAAACTTGAAGCAATAAGAATGAAGTAGTAAAAGACAAAATATACTAACGCATAATCATTAGTTATTATTATTATCATTATTATTTTGTATTTATTCCAACAAGTGACCACTCCTTGTATTTTTATATATCAAGTTATTTGTTGTAAAATAGTAAGTCAATATTAGTCATTTTGAACTTTACATAGTCAATTATCAAACTTCTTCCACGAGCTACAGCACCAACCTCTAATATATTTTATTTGAATTTTTTTGCTAATAAAAGTATTTTATGTTATTTGTTTATTTGCGTATTAGGTCATGAAGTAACGTTAATTATCGAAGTCCTCATACATTATAATAAGACATATGCGGACTTTTACGCATATGATTTCTTTCTTCATTGAGCTACTAAATTAGATCAATATTCGTTTTTCTTTTTATGAACTTATATTTATTTGATTTGTATTTTATAAGTCAAACATTATTGTTTGATATTATTTGTATAGTTTTTATAAAAGTGTATTTATTGAGATAAAGGTGCATGCGCAAAGCGCGTACCCTAAGGCTAGTTTTTAAAAACCATAAAGGTATGCTTCTAACTATGACTTACTGGAACTATGTCGACGGTGAAACACTAGTATTACGATTTTCTGTAGTAAAGCCCTTATCTTATGTAGCATGGGTACGGATCCGAGTGTTATACTTTGCATGACCTATGAGTACAATATGAAGATACATAAATTTTGATTATGGGGATATGATACACAAATTTTGGGGGGCAATATTATGTCCACATTTTTTTATATATTTCATCATGTTCTACAATCTTATGAATTTTTCCAGAAGCATTGATGTCTATTCAAAACCAAAGTAAGAAGCAAATATACAAATGCTACTCAAACCTATCAATATAATGATAAAATGTTTTTGAAACATTAAACGCAATAGGAATTTATGAAAATATTAAGCTTAAGCAACAAAGTTTGTTATTATGATAATAATAGTCCCAAATCTTCCTTTTATAATTGCCTTTTGTCCCATAATTATCCAATAGACTCGAAGTTTGGATATCCTAAAATAAGAATAACTTGTCTCCCAGAAAACAATATGACTTTTTTCTTTTGATACAGAAGTGGTTCCCAGTTCAGAATTTAATTCATGTGCTTCATTGCCCTAATCCCCATTAGTACCTGCCATACTCCCAAGCATCTCTAGCTCAGCAAATTGTGAAACTAATCCATCTCCATTATACTTAACCTGGGAGGAATTCTTTGTTTTCTGCATCATATGCGCTAGTGGACAGACTAACCACCTATTTGAGCTTCTATTTTTTGGCTGTAGAAGTGGTGTAGGTGGTTGCCAATGGTTTTACTTATCATTGTTATTTCTACTTTGCAGTTAGCAGATTTACAATGCAAAGTTCGGTCTGAACTGAGTTCTGAATACTGGCTTCGCCTGCATTGCGCTAATCCTGACAAGCAATTGTTTGACTGGGGGATGACGCGGTTGCGACGCCCTTTATATGGTATAGGAGATGCCTTTGCTGTCGAATCTGATGATCCTTTGAGGAAGAAGCGTGATGCGCAGGTAAAGTGATATATGCCTTGGAGCTTGTCAATTGTGTCATATATGTGATAGCGACAGTTGTCAAGACTCAAGTTAATGTTTTCAAGCTCAAAGGCTTTAGATGTTTTTTTCCCTCCCAATTTCAAAGATTGGGGTTTGGTCTTGATATAGGAAAGTACAGATAGTTTTAGTCATATCTGCTATCTATTGGTAAAGCTGAGAATAGAGCTACGCTGAGAATTTGGGATTTTAAGAATCAGTCCACTGTCTTTAATTCTTGTGACTCCATGATAGGAAGCTTTTATATACTAATTTTACAGAATTTGATGTCAGAAGCCTGTTGGTAACAACAATAAAATTTTTGCAGAGGTTGTCAAGATTAGAAGAAGAGGAGAGAAACCGTGTGGAAACTACGAAAAGAAAGTTCTTTGCGGATATACTCAATGCAGCACGTGAACTCCAATTACAAGTACAGGCTGTTCAGAAACGGCGGAAGCAAAGGAATGATGGTGTTCAGGCATGATATTGTTTACTTTCTCCTATTTATTCTACTGTCTATTCATTTATTCAACTCCATGTGCATAATTGAAAATACTATGAACCAAAATTGAGTTGTGACCTAGAGAGCGGATGCAGTCTTCACCTGTTATATTCTTAGAATGTGGCGGATTTTATCTTGGCTAAATGAAGCAATCTCTGTTTCATAGGCTTGGCATGGAAGGCAAAGGCAACGGGCTACTCGTGCTGAGAAACTGAGGTTACAAGCTCTGAAAGCTGATGATCAAGAAGCTTACATGAAGATGGTGGAGGAAAGCAAGAATGAAAGATTAACAATGCTTCTAGGAAAAACAAATGAGCTCCTTGGTCGTCTGGGAGCTGCTGTTCAACGGCAAAAAGATGCTGATCATGATGGTATTGAACCTATGGAAGGCTCAGATGCTGAAATGGCCCCTTCTAAGACTGGAACTCCTGGGCAGTCACTTCCTGAGGAAGAAGAGAATGTTCTTGATGATGAGCCCACGCGTGATGTAAAGACTAGTGACTTACTTGAAGGTCAGAGGAAGTACAATTCAGCTGTACATTCAATCCAGGAGAAGGTAAAGGGACATCTTCTCTGTTATCTTTACTTTAAATATTCCAGGGAGTCTTGTTGGAAGTTGTGCCTAAGTTTCAGATATTGAATGGATGTTTGGTAGCAAAAATTGAACCTTCGAGAGGTTTTCTAGATTTAGAATCTCATCCTTTCTTCTAGTTCTTTGGTCAATGTGCTTGAGTTTCATATTGGTTGTGACTGAGTGTCTTCTCATTTCATAGCAGGGTTTCCATGTTCAGAAACTATTGCTGTTGATTATTTCAGATGATCTCGTCAGCGTTTTGTTACTCATGACTGGTGTTTCGTTATTACAAAAGAAAATCTATCTTTAATCTAATCATGAATTTTAATTCAGTGCAAGTATTTAGATTCTGATCAGTTGTATTCTATAACGTGAATATGTGGTTAAGCTGATTCGCTCCTTAAGTTTCTATTCTTACTTCCTTGTTTGATGGAAATATAAGACCTAGCATGTTGCCAAATTATCTGAATTGAATGACTATTCGGATATGTTGTTGCGAGACTCTTTTTAAGCTCCACTACTTTATGTCGTGGAACTGAGCTAACTAAACCATAGAATGTGTTACCTCTTTTTAGTTATGCACTTTGTGTTGGTGTCATTGTCCTGTTTTGCCTCCAGCCCAGCTTCACCATTCAGGTTCTATGATATATTTTCTTTTAAGTCGTAAGAAGCCAAGAATCTGTACTAATTTTATACCACATCCAATTTTGATTTCTATTCTCCAGTCCCAAAATATCATGTTACGTCTTTCTAATCTCAGCCGAATGGCTTCATGCTGATGTACAAGGATCTTACAGTTTATGACTAACTCCATGACGATTGCAATATAGCTGTTTTCCCTTTTACAACTGAAATCTTATTAGTATTTCCATCCTTTGTTTTGTGTTAGTGCTTTGCAAATCTAATGCAGTATTCATATTTGTAGGTTACGGAGCAACCAGCTATGCTTCAGGGTGGAGAATTAAGACCATACCAGCTGGAGGGACTCCAGTGGATGTTGTCTTTGTTTAATAACAATTTAAATGGAATTTTAGCGGATGAAATGGGTCTCGGCAAAACGATCCAGACAATTTCTTTAATTGCTTATCTTATTGAAAACAAGGGTGTAACTGGTCCCTACTTGATTGTGGCTCCAAAAGCTGTACTACCTAATTGGATTACTGAATTCTCTACATGGGCTCCCAGGTATGCACACCTCTCTCTCTCTCTCTCTCTCTCTCTCTCTCTCTCTCTCTCTCTCTCTCTCTCTCTCTCTCATGCAGGGAACATGGGAACACACATGGATTTTGTCTGTTTAAAGGTGCACTGTGCATCACATTTCATGGGATTTTTTTCGCTTGCAGCATTGATGCTGTTCTTTATGATGGTCGTCTGGAAGAAAGGAAGGCACTGAGGGAGGAGTTAACTGGAGAGGGGAGGTTCAGTGTGCTGATCACGCATTATGATCTTATTATGAGAGACAAAGCATTTCTGAAAAAAATTCATTGGCACTATCTGATTATTGACGAAGGGCACCGATTGAAAAATCACGAATGTGCTCTTGCACGGACTCTCGTGTCAGGGTATGTGAAATGTAGTTTTTTGTTAAGTTGCTAGTGTATAAGAATGTTAACCAAAAAGGGGTAGGAATAAGAGCGTATGATAATCTTCTTATTTATGAGTTATGGATTTGCTCCTCTCAGTTAAATTTTAGCACTCACCTTTGCTGATAAAGGTGTAATCTGATGCACTGGCACACAATCAAATGAGTTTTATCTTAAAAAACAATTATGGGGATATGCCAAAAATCGGGAAGTCATTTTTCTTGGCAGTTCAATTTTTAAGGATAAAACTTCAGATATGGGAAGCGTTCCTATAATTAAGGTGTGTAATATTTGCAGCTATCGGATTCGTCGGAGACTTCTGTTGACTGGTACCCCGATCCAAAACAGCTTACAGGAGTTGTGGTCTCTTCTCAATTTTCTTCTTCCGAACATCTTTAATTCAGTGGAGAATTTCGAGGAGTGGTTTAATGCCCCCTTTGCTGATAAGTGCGACGTCTCTCTAACTGATGAAGAGGAGTTATTGGTTATTCGCCGGTTGCACCATGTACGTCTTGGTTCATTATTCGCTGATATACACTTCTTTCCTGCCTATTTAGAATTTATTGCACCGTTTCAGATGCACTTTATTCTTTCTTGATCTAATGCTTTTGACTACTTTTAGGTAATAAGGCCGTTTATTTTGAGGAGGAAGAAAGATGAAGTGGAGAAATTTCTTCCTGGGAAAACACAAGTTGTTCTTAAATGTGATATGTCTGCATGGCAGAAAGTATACTACCAGCAGGTCACGGATGTCGGGAGGGTTGGATTGGATTCTGGTGAGTAGTAGCTGCCGTCCAGAAAGTATTGCCTTTAATCCGTTCCTTCTAGACATGGTTGAATTTAAAGATTGTTTTTTTTTTTTGGCTTTGGGTGGGATGGGATATGAATTCATGGAGAGGGGAGGGAAAACAACTGTGCTTTGAATACTCCCTCTTTCCCTCTCTTCCTCTATCTCCCTTGGGCCTCTACAGATCCATTGCTCTGAAATCAACATCCTTAATGATGCCTTATACAGCTCTTGTGCTCTTGTGTTATTTTTTCCCCTTTTTTTGTTCCCCTGAGAGAACTTTTTGCAAAAGCAGCAAACTATAGGTTCTGATAATTTTCATTAATGACTAGACTCTAAAATTATTGGTAGGATATTGCTTTAGTAAAATTATTGGTGAGGCTATAATTAATCTGTAGCCAAATAGAATAAATTTGCTGGCAATGTGACTTCGCAGGTACTGGGAGGTCTAAGAGCCTACAGAATCTCACCATGCAGCTAAGAAAATGTTGTAATCACCCATATCTATTCGTGGGTGATACTTCTGCGTATTATCGGAAGGAGGAGATAGTCAGAGCATCTGGAAAATTTGAGCTTCTCGATCGTTTACTACCCAAACTCCGCAGAGCAGGGCACCGGGTACTCCTCTTCTCACAAATGACCCGCCTCATGGACATTCTTGAGGTCTATCTGCAGCTTCATGACTTTAAGTATCTTAGACTTGATGGCTCAACCAAAACAGAGGAAAGGGGGACTTTGCTAAAGCAATTTAATGCTCCTGATTCTCCTTACTTTATGTTTCTTTTGAGTACTCGTGCCGGAGGACTCGGTCTGAATTTGCAAACAGCAGATACTGTGATAATTTTTGACAGTGACTGGAACCCTCAAATGGACCAGCAAGCAGAAGATAGGGCACATCGGATTGGGCAAAAGAAAGAAGTTAGGGTTTTTGTGTTAATCAGTGTAGGATCAATTGAAGAGGTCATATTGGAACGTGCAAAACAGAAGATGGGCATTGATGCTAAGGTCATCCAGGCTGGATTGTTCAATACAACATCTACAGGTTTGTCTTGTACACAGATGTAGTTTTGGAGAACCCTTCACACCCCAAGCCCCTGCCTTCTTTACTTTTCTTATAGGGAAGAAGCAAATCAGGTTGAATTATAAGAAGAAATTGCATTTTCTTTTCTGTAGAAGTATGGAAACTAGATTTTGAAAATTGTACTAATACTTTAGTTTACTTGCAATAAGTGTGCTTTTACCAAGAATCGCCTGTGTACTTTCAACATGTTAGTCTCAGGAATGCTGACTGAAGCTTTTATTCATGGTCTTGCTTCTTGATCCTCTTCATAATCCATTCTGACTACTGTCTTTGTTCTTCATGCAGCTCAAGAGAGGAGGGAGATGTTGGAAGAGATCATGCGTAAAGGTACAAGCACCCTTGGAACAGATGTGCCAAGCGAAAGAGAGATTAATCGCCTTGCAGCCCGCTCTGATGAGGAGTTTTGGCTGTTTGAGAAAATGGATGAGGAGAGAAGGCAAAAAGAACGTTACAGATCTCGTCTCATGGAAGATCACGAGGTGCCGGATTGGGCGTATGCTACACCTGAGGCTAAGGAAAGGGGAAAAGGGTTTCTTTATGAAAGTGCTAATCTTACTGGAAAGCGGCGTAGAAAAGAAGTGGTTTATGCGGATACTTTAAGTGACTTACAGTGGATGAAGGCTGTGGAGAATGGAGATGATTTCTTTAAGCAGTCAGGTAAAGGTAGGAACAGGGACCATCACTCAGTCTCAAATGGTGAATTGCCGAGTGACAATGCTGAAGTGGAGAAGAAAGAACAGGACTTGAAGACTGAAACTGCGTCTGTGGGCGAGGCAACAAGTGAAGATACCTTTGGAACAACTCCTAAAAGGTTCAAATCCGAGAGTGCTAGTTCCATGAGAAACAATTATCACGACTTGACTGGTGGCAGTTTGGACGGATTATCGTGGAAAGCACACAAGAGGAAGAGATCAAGCTTAGTATCTTGAGATTGCCCCTTTAAAAATTAGGAATTATTTTTGCCAGTGAAGCCATTGGGGGACGTAGGGGACACTCCGAAAGACAACAGAATTGGCTACAGGCATTTCAGAGCTAACTATGGGTTAAGTTGTCCGGTGTCTTGCATGTAAATTAGCAGCTCATTGTTCTTAGCTTATTATTCACTATTAGTTGATTGTGCAGTAGTGAGAAAATTGGAGACATCAACTGGTGTACCATTATCCTTTTTGCCACAATTCCGAATTATTCTTGTTTGGAGTTGCTGCTGGATCAAGTTTCAGCACTTGGCAACGATGTACAGTATATTTTCAAGTTGATGTTACGATCTAGTTTACATTTTGGAAGGACCAGAATCCGGTGCATGGCATTGTAGTGCCTACCAATTGAATACAGCAAGGAGCATGAGACGGTCGAAATATGATCTTTTGATTGGTCTTTGGGCAAAATCTAAGGCTTTCAATAACACTTGTAGAACTTCAGTGAGAATGTGGATACACCTCACTTTCACCAATTTAATTCAGGGGGAAGCTGGGATTGCTTCCAACACAAATTTTTTTCTTTTTAGGTTGACTAACGGTAACTTTACTTCTGACACAATTCCTTGTCTACAAAAGGGAAGAATAACAATCAGAATTAAACAATGAAAATAAGCGTGGTTTAGGAAAATTTAGTACTTGCCAAAATTCAAATGAAAGTAGCTTTTGAAAAATGTCACCCGCAACCTACACTCTCCAGCAATAACGTGCTTGCTTGTCTGATAAAATCATAACTCATAAGGGAGGAAAACTAGCACACGTATTCAGTTCGTCAATAAAATCAAATAAGTCAAATGCAATACAGGAATAAAAAAGGGTGAGATCATCAGTCTACATAACCCCAAAAAGTTCAACATAAATAATTGTTTTCTCCGGTAGCCTACATAATTTAGCTAGACCTAAGTTGACCAATAAAGCAACAGTTCATCCCACCAAATTTAAATGACTGATGGAATTATATGTTAGCACCTGCTGGAGGAACATAATATGGCCAGCTTGGCATAAACAAAAGATGGCAAAACCAAAACTGCAACATGCAGAAGTCAACAAATACCGAATTCTAATTGCTATCTGGTGCGTCAAGACTCTCCTCATCTCCCTTGACGTCCAGGTTTTTGAGTTTTGATTCCAGTTCATCCTCACCGTCTTTGCCTTCATCTCCGGATTCCTTCTCCTCTTCCTCATCATCGTCATCTTCTCCCACTGGGTCATTATCCTCCAAGGATGCAAGCAGTTCAGGAGATTTCTTAAAGATGTCTTTCAACTCATCAACGCCTTCTTCTGAGATGAAATTCCCATTAACATTTAGTAATTTAAAGTCATCTTTGTGCAGCACGGTTCGAGCCAGCACTCTAGCCCCAGCCCTTCTTAGTGCGTTCGTGTTCATATCAACTTCCTTCAAATGGTTGAGTCCTCGGAGAGCCTTAGCAATCTGAATTGCACCTTCATCCATAAGTTCATTCTCACCCAAGCTTAGCTTTGAAAGAAACTGCTTCGCAGCTATACAAGAAGCTATTGCTGGAGCAGCTTCCTCAGTTATATCATTACCTGCCATCTCCAAGACACCAAGTGAAGGGGCTGAATCTTTGAGTGCATTAGCTATTGCAATTGCTCCTTCATCCTCTAAATTAAGGTAGCTCAGGTAAACTTCTGTAAGATTTTCATGTTTGCTGAGTGCCTTACTTAGCACAAGACCAGCTTCTGGACCAAACATATTGTCCCGCAAATCAAGCTTCTTCAAATGGGAGCACATCCCAAGTGCTTCACACAAGGCACTCCCTCCTTCAGAGCCTACCCTTGTAGAAGAGCACCTGAAATCTTCCAATAAAGGAGAGCGCTTCACAATTTCAGCAATGGCAACAGCCCCTTCATCACCTGTCATATTATTATGAAAATGAAGAACCTTAAGCTTCTCGGTGGAAGGAACTAGCTCGCTAACAGCCCTTGCAGCTTCCTGTGAGATCCCATCGTTGATAAAAAATAGTTCCTCCAAGTTGGTTTGAGACTGAAGGAGCTTTCCAAATGCTCTAACTCCCTTCTCACCCAGAGCATTGTCAGAGAGATTCAGAAACTTCAAGTTAGAACCTTCTAGAGCTTCTGAGAATATATTCATGACATCAAGTGCTTCTGCCTCAACTCTTCCAGCAACAAAATCTGACAAATCAACTTCCGTCAATTGATCCTTCAAGGATGCCAAGATAGGGCCAGCAACACATGCTGCGCCTCGACCGAAACTTCTATTACTGAAACAAATTTTGCTGTAAGGGTTTCCAGGCTCTTTTAATGGCTTCAAAAGTTCTTCAGCCTCTTCAGCTTCAATAAATGCTCTTTGACCTTTCGAGATATCGAAAAGATTCGGCTGAACAGCAGGAACCACCTCAGAGATTGAAATCTTCTTTTCCTCTGTTTTGGGGCTCTTTTTTAGAATCTCCAGGATAAGCTTGCTGCACTCCTTGGCATAAAGCTGCACAGCAGAACTCCCATCACCATCAGGCTCCTTCTCGTAATGTTGACTTGCAATGGTAAAAGCTGCATCTTCAATTTGTTCAGCATTTTTGGCAGCATCTTCCTTGGATAGACTGCGGTACTTGCGGGTGAAAATGGTTGGACTAGAAAGATTATTCGTCATTCTTTCCACCAGCATTCTTCTTGTGTTCTCACTTGGAGGCCACAGCTTAATTGAAAATGGTCTGCGCTGAGAATTCGGCGTTGTGGCATCCATTGGAAGAAAATCTAGAATCAAGGACAGCATAAGTTTATATACGGGAAAGCATGCCTTAGTTTCTATATAAAAATAATGTCATTATCTTTCAAGAAATACTAACTACTACAAGACTCAAAAATTATCTCTTGCAGTTAAGAGACACAACAATCAAAACAAAGTAACAGGCCAAGAACAAGTTTTTGCCTACCTACTCCACATAATACAAACTAGTATAAATCATCAACAACATAAACAAAAGTTCAAGAGTTCAAATTCTTCCTCATAGGAAACGGGATATATTATAAGCCAAAATTATGATGATGTTGTTTATAATACTGAATCCAATAATCCACAGTCATCCATCAAGCAAAATGAGATTAAGTTACATATTCAACAATGTAATAACATTCAAAACAAAAACTATTACATTCTCCAGGTGCATTCAATATAACCACACTAAAAACACTTTCTTGGATATAACGATGCTACACAACTACAAACTTGTAGTACTAAACAAAATCCTTATTTCCCCCCCTACAAAACAAACAACACCATAGAAAATCTTTATAGCCATCAATTGCAGATGTAGCTTTCCACGGTAAAACTAATAACATGTAAGAACTACAATAAACCACACATGGAAGCACATTCAAAAATATAAATTTAAAACCCAACATAGATCTATGAAAAAACATGAGCTTAAGTAATGAACAGAAGAAAAAAAAGTAGATACATGTAAAGCATATGTGCAGAAACCCTAGGAATGAGAGAAAAAACAAAAAACTTTTTGCCCTTTTGTGTTTCTCTTTTGTGTGAGTTTATGTTCTGACTTACCGGGGAACTACGAGAGAGAAGGCGTGAATTGAACGCGCCGGCGAAGAGGGTGTGACGGGAACTGCAGAGGAACTGAAGAAATTTAGGGGAGTGAGACCAATGTGTGTGTGGGAACAGGGTTTTATTCTGTTCTCTTTGTTTCTTTTTGTAATAAGTAATAATTTGCTTGTGGAAAATGCTGTTTGGGCGCTGAAGGATAGGGTGATAATTGATGTTTGGCCAAACTTTAAAAAAAATAATTTTTTTTAATGTTTTTCGAAATATTTTAATTTGTAATAATTTGTATTTAGACAAGGACGTGAGAAGCATTTATATGACAAGGTATTTTAATTTGTGTTTGAACAATTATTTTTTAAAAAGTATCTTTAAATGACAAATTACAAAAGGACATCTTTACAATTAAAATACAAGTAAAATTATTTTTGAAACAATTATAATTATTTTTATTAGTGACTTTAATTAAATTAATTTAATAAAGTATTTCTTCTTTATTTGAGATTTCATAAGATTTGCAGACATAAAGAGTTGAGAAGACAATAAAAAAGGTCATGGAGAAAAGGAGGAGGAGCAACTTTCTAATGGTTAAGTTCTCTTTTGAAATTAATAATTGTTTTGTAATTAATTTCTCCTACCTACACACAATGTTTGAAATCCAATCTCATCTTCTCCACATTAATTAACAATTAAAGAAATTCACAATACACGGGCACAGCTAGGGATGACAATTTGAGCCCAAACCTATTTAATTCGCTAACATGTCCAAGGTTGGATTGCTCAGTGACCCGCCCATTTGTTGAACTCAGTCTATCTTGACGCAATTTATCTTAACCCATTTGAAGTTGGGCTAACTTTAGACCAAATTGCTTCATGAGTAACTTTTGATAAAATATCTTAAATGAGCAACCTGCCCATTTGACACCCTAATCACGACCAATGCTCTGAAAGTTCTTTTGGCCATCAGAAGTGCACTATCATTGTAACACCCCAAAATATTTCAAAGTATTTAAAGGTCATTATGAAGATTGACGTATGCTAATTGTCACGATCCAAATCCTCCCTCCGTGATGTGTCGTAACGGACATCTAATCTCTACGACTGAATAAGCCTAACACTTGCGTAATAATAAAAATGAAAGCATAAATTTAACAACTAACTGCAACAGACAATTAAATAACTGATATAAATGCCATCCAACATGTACAATAACCAGCTCTCGAATATACACAAAATTTTCCCAAGACCGGAACATCATAAGTCACAAGCTTCTAAGAATTTGTATAACTGTTTCTATACATCAGTAACTAGAAGAAGTAAAGGAGGTGTCACGCCCCAAAATCCGAGGAGCGCGACCGGCGCTCAACCGAGTAAACCCGGCTGAGCAAGCCTGTTAGGTTTCATACTACCCAAATTCGTCTTTGAATAAAAAGGAAATGTATACCATTAATCAAATTCTATAAATATATCATTAACGACTTCTATTTCCTTTCCATTAGCAACTTCGTTCGTAATTTTCAAAATATTAGAAGTTTTATACAACTTTGCCAAATATCAATATTTCTAGTTCAAATTTTCAATACCCGACACCACCCACAACCTGTCTACGAAGCCTCTAAATACAGCTGAAGAGAAATATGAAAATGCCGGCAACAAGGCTCCGGCTATACCTCGATATACAAGTACATGATGAACAGATGATACAGGACCCCGGAATGAAGTGGGGCTCACCAAATCGGCTGAAAGGAGGATACGCCACTTGCTGCGACTAACACTG